TATATATATATAATTTTTTTTAATTATAAATGTAAAATCTAATTATGCTTTTTCTGTTTCCAAGGCAACAAAAATTTGCATTAAACTATGACTCATGGACTACTTCTGTGTAATGACCTATGGACAACTTGAACACTGTGACAGGATATTTCAGCACTCAAATGTCATGACTGCCTCTATGACAATGCAGATCTTATGTAGGTTTTATTTTGTGTGTGAATTTGTCATTCAATATCCATGTGTATTTGACAACCCACTTTTTTAGATGTTGGTGTTGATTGAATACAGTGGTGAAAATATGCGTATATGGGCTTGGATTCACTTAGAATGTTCTGTTATCTGGTTTTGTTCAGCACCGGGTGTGTGATTATTCTAAACTCTTTTTAAAAAGTTCAAAGTTAGCCCACTTTTTGTTTAAAAATGTCCAGCGAGCCTTAAGATGGGCTGTTGTTTAATTTCTTCCTCTTTTTGTATGAAAGTTTAGTTCTTGAAATATATTCTTTTTTTATAATTGTAATACTTAATTTGATTGTTTGTTTTGTCTGTCACTCGTCTTATAGGGAATGTCCACCAAAAAATTTAAATTGTCATAATTTCCTCACCTTGATGTGGTTCAGAACCTGTATGCATTTAATTCTTCTGTGGAACATAAAAGAGATGTTGATGACCAAACAGTTTTGTTTCCCATTGACTTTTTCCTTTTTCTTTTTTCTTTTATTTATTTAATTTTTGGGGTCCATACAATGGACGTTAATGGGAACCAAAACTTTATAGTTACCAACATTCTTTAAAATATATTTTGTGTTCCACAGAAGCAAGTCATACAGGTTTGAAATGACATGAGGGTGAGTAATGATGAACCGACTTTCATTTTTGGGTGAACTATCCCTTTAATGTCAGAACTATGGTTGTCTTAATTTTAGTGGCTTTTTTTATATATTTTAAAAGAGTAGAAAGTAAGTGATTTTTTTAAATAAAATACTTGCTTTTCTCTCTCTCTCTGCTTTGTCATTGGATTTTTTTTATACCATAATTAACACATTGTATTACTCTAAACATGCATTTCTCATCAGTTTGAGAGCCTAATATTATGCATGTTCCAGCAGAGGGTGCTAGAGCACAAGGAAACCCAGAACTGTCGTTTAATATACTTTCAGAGAAACCTTCCTCATACTACAAGCTTCCGTTCAAAAATGACAAGCAAACAATCAAGCACTTTGTTCTTGCATGTAATGATCATTTATTAAAATCTTTGACCTTGACGTAGCATTTCTGCTTGTTCAGCTGCAGTAGTCCTCCAGGTGGTAGATGGTGCAGGGCCTGTGGCAGCACCGTTCCACAATCCCTCTCTTCATCTTCATCATCACCTGTTTTAATGGATCGGCCTCGGCTACCTCATAATCTGCTAAATTTGAGAGCAAGGCTGGAAGGGGAAGTGAACACTTTAAAAAAAAAAAAAAGTTTCATTAAAACCGTTTTGTTCCTCTATTTAAAAGCTGTACATAAAGTCCTCCCTCAGCAATGTCTCCAAGTCCCTCCTGTTTCTGCTGGAGTAAAAGAAGCCTCTAGGCCCACACACAAGGTAAAGCGCGTCCACCAGGTTGGAGCCGCACAGATGCTGTGATGGAGTAGAGAGTGATCCAGGCAGGGAGGCAAGCAGCAGGATTATTGCTGCTGCCTGGAGCAACAGGACCATGATGGGCAGAAGCTGTGGACATGTACTGCCTGGAATGAAGAGCACATTTTTGAAAGCAGTGTTCTTTGTTTTCATGGTTAAATTGATGAAAACACCTAAAGATTTGGTTCTTTTCTGCTTATTGCAATCTTGAGCATTTAGAAAATCAACCAACGTAATATTTGGTTTCCCACTTACCGTTCCTGGGTGAGCACAGTCAATCAAGTGTGGTCAGGATTGGGATGAATCGTGCTGCTTATATAGCATCCTATTGCCAGCCCTCGCTCTTGATGGCATCAGCGGAAAAACAAAAGTTCCCGTGTAATGACATGACTCCTTATGCATGTC